AATTTTTAAAAAAAGAAAAAATAAAAAGAAGATGGGAATGCTGAGTCACCGTCAATGATATCTGAAAAAATACGGAGAACAGAAAGGGTGCTATAGGACTGGAAAGGGGCAAATGTTATCTCAATTTCCAAAAAGAGGAAAAGAATGGAATCTAAAAACTATAGGCCAGTGAACTCTATTTTAATTCCTGGGAGAATTTTAGAATGTATTATTAAGGAGACGGTTTGTGAATATCTAGAAAAGAAAGTAGTGATCACAAAAAACCAGCATGACTTCATCAAGAACAGGCCATACCAAACAAACCTTTTTTTCTTTGTTGATAGGGTTACTAAATTTTTTTAAAGGAATGCTGTTGACATAATCATATCATATATATTATCTCATGCTATTCTTTTAGGAAAAGACAAAGAGGTGGAGGCTACATGAGGATGCAGTTAGATGGATTTGAAATTGCTTGAATGAGCAAACTCTAAGATCAGTCATTAATGGTTAAATATTGCCTTGGAAGGTGTTTTTCAGTAATCTGTGCTAGGACCTCTGCTGTTTAGCATTTTCAATGACTCTGATAAAGGTATAAATAACACTCTTATTCTACTCCCAGATGATAAAAAAAAAACTAGGAGGGGCATAACTAACCCACCAAATGACGACCAGGATTAAAAAAGATGTTGATAGGTTAGGAAATTGATCTGAGACCAATAAAATGAAATTTAAAAGTGACAAATTTAGTCTTACACTTGGGTCCAAGAAATGAACTTTCCAAGTACAACATGAAAGAGATATGGTTAAATAGTATGTTGCCTAAAAAATATTTAATGGACTGCAATCTTAATATGAACCAACAGTGGCTAAAGCAGCCAAAATACCTAATAAAATTTACAGTTGCATTAACAGAGGTATAGTTTCCAGGTGTAACCCTTGGCTGAAAGGGCAGTTGTATGAAACTTCCTCGTTATTGGTGGAGATTGATTATTCAATGCCCTTCGCCTGAGTAAGGGGTGAATAGAATTTTGGAGAATCCAAGAGAAGATAGGTCTGGGCTCTTCTGGTTTCCAGCTTTGAGAGATCAGTTTTCAAGTCCCTGAAAGGGGGGGAAAGACTCTGGGAAGAAGTTGACATGGAGAAGAGCTGGCAGTAGCTATCCTGGCCCTCTACCTAGTGTGGTACACTAGAGACTTTGGAGAATTTCCCCTGGTGTGAAATTTGGGACTTTCTCTGGGTTATCCAAAGGAAAAGGTCATCAACTTTCTGTATTGTCTGATATATTATCATATGTATTCTTTCTCTGATTTCTGTTTTGCTATTGACCTGTATAAATGGACTTACTTGCTATTTGCTATGTGTGTTCATTGTGGAACTGGCATTTAGTGGAAATGAAGTCAAGCCTCAGATATATAGCTTGGGGACCTTTTTTTCCCATTAAGGGAAAACAATCAGGAGTATAGCTTAAATCTAAAAATTACTTCCCCTAGACTAACCATATTTAAGGGAGCTATAAGATAGATATAATTCTAGCCCAGTACTCCCTTTATCTGAGGAGAACAGAGTGGCCATTGTCTGGCCCCAAGTTTCTGCTTTCCCTCCTGGCAGGAATCAAAGTCTTTCTTGGAGAAGCGTATGAAGAGGAGATGCTAGAAATATCTATTCTTCATTCCCTGAAAGCCACATCTAGACAGATCCATGTGGACACACCTAACTTATATGGGCAAAACAAAACAGCACTCCCACACCAAACTTTACACAAGAATAATGAGATAGTTTGTCTGTTCTTTGCCCTGATCAGATCACAACTGTAGAATTGTGTTCAATACTGGACACCACAGTTTAGGAAGAATATTAGGCTGGAGAGTGTCCTAAACGGGGCAACTAAGATGTCAAAAAGCCTTGAGGATTAGTTAAAGAAGATGAGCCATTTAGCTGGAGAAGAAGAGATTCACAGGAGATATGATAGCGGCCTGTTTTCTGTTCTTGAAAAGCTGCCATGTGAAAGAGGGATTAAAACTTGTTTTACTTGGCCTCCGAAGGCAGAACTGAGATAAATATGTGGGTGTGGCAAAGAGGGACTGAAGTAAGGGAAAACTGACTAGCATCCGAGCTACAGGAAAATGGAATGGGCTGCCATATGAGGTAGTGGGAGGTCAGAGCAAAGGCTGGATGATGACTTATCTTCTTCAGACTTGGTTAGACTAGATGACTCCTGAGAGCCTTCTAACTCTGGAATTTTGTGAATTTGTGAAATATCACCTCATGGGACACTTGGTCATCATGCATTGCAGTGCTCATGATAAGACTGACCACCATGAAGATAACTGAAGCTTTTGTACCAATATCTGTGATAATGATAATAGAAAAATTTTATGAAGAGCTAGATAAGATCTTCCAAACTACATAAACATATTCTTTAATATGTGGTGACTTTAATGAAAAGGTGGAAATAGGGAAGAGAACAAAAAGATGTTGGAGTATATGGTTCACTCATTCATTCAATGAGCATTTTTTTAAACATCTTTGAGCAGGCACTGTTCAAGGTAGTGCTAGGTGCGTTAGTTACAAGAACCAAAATGAAGCAGTACTTTTTCTCAAGGAGCCCATATTCTAATGAGGCAAAATGACATATAAAAAGATAAATCAATTAAAGATATATACAAAATAATTACCAAATACTTTGGTGTGGTCATGGGGAGATGGTGGGGAGAGACACTAACAACTTGGAGATCAGAAAAGGCCCAGTATAGAAGGTAATACTTGACTTGAGTCTTGAAGGAAGCTACATATTCTAAGAGTAAAGAGGGAGTGCATACTAAGTTTGGGGCAGAGTCTGTGCAAAAGAATAGAGGGGAGAGATGAGATGCTATATACAGAGAAGAGTTAAGTAAGCAAGTCTTACCAGAATGTAAAGTGTGTTGGTTGTGTGTGTGTATGTGCGCTTGTGTGTATAATCTGTAAAGACAGATTGGAGCTAGATTTTGAAGAACTTTAAATGAAAAATAGAAGAGTTAGTATTTCTATCCTACAGGCAAGGAATTCAAGGAGCCATTTGAACGTTTTGATTGATGTGGTTATATGCTATAGGAATGTCATTTTGGCAACTTTGTGAAGGATGGCTTAGAGAGGATAGAGATTGGACACAAGGACTCTAATTAGGAAGCTGTTATAATGATAGTTCAGGAGAGAGGCAATGAGGGTCTGAATTGGGTGGTGGCTCTGTGAGTGAACAGATAGAAATGGATAGGAGAGATGTTTTGTATAAGTTACATATTATTAATGTACTAGTATTAGTATTAATAAGAGGTGGCAGTTGGCTGGATATGAAGGGTGAATGAGAGCAAAGAGTTGTTTGTCCTTCCTACTTGAAGAGGACAAATGTCATCACAATGTGTTTGATTGTGACTGATCAGTCCAATATAAACTCAGGGAAGGCTCTACAATTGGCCAGGCACAAATAGTCCATTTGAACATTTGGGATGGAGATGTCTCTAAATTTGTACATCTCACATTTCCTTTGTGCTACTGCACTTCTGCTCTGCTCATGGAGCACAGCACCTTTTTGATGCACACATGCTTGCTGGGTAATCCTGTGCCACAGTCTCCCATGCCTCACAATCAGTACTAAAGTTCTCCAGAGAGACCTTGAGAGTGTCCTTGTGGACTTCATAGAATATTCTCACCTATATATTATGAATTCTTTAAGGAGAGAATGAAGAGATGTTCTACATGGCAAGTACCAAATAGCACAAAAAAAATAAAAGAAACTGATATATATTCTAACAAGAAATGACTGGTTACTAATGTGGCAGTCATTTCCAGTTCAGCTGTGTACAAGCTGACCACTGACTTGTTAGAGCAAAGATCAAACTCAATACCCAATTAAGAGAAGAAATAAAATTGAGAAATTATGGCTCGCAATTAAGGCAACTGTAATTTGACCTATTCAAATAAACTATTAACAATGAAAAAATGGATAAATAAAGGGACAGACATCAACACAGCAGTGAAGTGGTACAGTGGATAGAGGGCTTAATAACTGTTTATTGAATTGGACTATTATCCCCATTTCTGGACTAGTGGACCTCTGAAAGAGCTGACCTCTTCCAGTTCTATATCTATGATCCTACAAATCATAGAATCTCAGCTCATCCTGAAGTTGAGATAGATTAAATAACTTGGCCTTGCCTGTGTAGTTTTAGATCTGGGATTTAGACTCAGTTCTCCTGATATGGTGGCTAGCATACTTTCAAGTGCACCCTGTTGTTTCTCATATGCATAAAAGGAGAGATGAGATTTAGAATAAAGAAGTAAACTCCTTAATTTGGTGTGGTAGAAGCAATATCCTAACCTCTTCCCCCTTGGCAAGTTAGGCTAATTTTTCTTTAAAGGAGATTGAAATCATCTCCAAGACTTGGCTGGTTCAGGTGACTAAAGGCTTAAACTGTTGACATCATTTTCTTGTATCTTGAATAGAAAGCAGCCATAAGGAGCTCCAGGTCTGTTCTCTGATGCTTGGTTAGTGGATCACAATGGATAGCTTAGGCAAGGGAACTTTGCTCAACTGAATCAACTTGAGGTGACCTCAATATCTTTGTTGAATATCCTCTGATAACCACTACATAAATCTTTTTGTTAACTTTTGAATGACCCCAAGTGTTTCATTTTGTTCTGTTCTAATATCATACCTAAATTAGTAGGGGATTGCCTGGATCAGTAGACATTTGGCATTTAATACTGGCCACAGTTTGGTTCCAGCCTAGTTTCATTGTTGTGGGGAAGGTTTCAATCATAAACTTGACTTTTTTCTCTATCAGCTTTAAAAAAAACAAAAACCCAAATTTTTTTTTGCAGGAGAGACCTGAGTTTAACCTTTAGACGCTAGTAGGACCACCTTCTTCCCCTTAGCCCTAGAAATGGGAGTAGCCAAAGGCAACAGTGGACCAGCTAGAATTCCTGGACTTTGAGGGCCCTGACCCAGAGTCTTGGAAAGGCAGTGGTAGAGGAACACGTACCTGAAACCATGTGCCAGTCATGGAGCAGGGAAATACATGGTCGTTATGGTGGGAGTTCCCTAACCCCAGGTTTTTGGAAGAATGTTGAGAGTTCCTGAACCTTATGGAGAGAGGCAGGAGGAATTCCTGGGCAGTGTGATCCCAACATCTAGCCGTCTGGGGAGAGAAAGGAAATTCCCAGGCAATAACGGCCTCAGAGCTGCCTCTCTAGAAATCCCTTATTCAGGAGTTCTGAAATTCCACCTATTTAGAGAAGGGGAGTTCCTGAGCAAAACCACATTTTTAGAAGAAGGGGATTGTACCCGTGGCCTTATAGCAGGAAGAGAAATAAGGAATCTAGACCATAACTTGGGGGAGTAGAAGACCTGATCCTTGCTCTTTGCTATTGCCAGGAGTTATTTGTATATTCCAGGCTTAATGGGAAAGGAGGTTGTCTATCTTAGCGACTCCAAGGCACTTCCCCTCAGGGGATACCATGCCCTCAGTTGAATGGAAAGGTTACATGACTTTGTAAGGGGAAGGGCCAGTCCAGTGCTGGAAGCCTCCAATTGTTCTCCGCCCACTGCATAAACATTTGGAACGTGCTTGCAGAAACGCATGATGAGATGTAATGAAGGGGCCCTGCTCCAATCTGGAGCATGTGCAAGGTATTCTATGACTATTCTTGGTCCTTATATTGCATGGTAAGGAAAAGCCTTTTGGTTGGCAGCTAAGCTTGAACTGGGTATGGATACCCAAAAAAAAAAATTCTCTCCCTGGTAGCTTTCAAATGAGGAAGAATTTCTGTATGTCCCTGGGTGAGTGGAGGTGCTACCACTTTGGCTACCTTTCTCCCCCGGGGCTCCCCGTATGGCCATGAATGCATAGTGTGGTTGTTCTTGTTTGTTTTGTCAGTAAGTCCACCCCACCTCCTCCCACATCAAAGGTGACTGCAGTACTAGTCACAAACCTGTGAGTTTCAAAAGGTTGGAAGGGCTACACCAGAGACCCAGGAATTGGAGTCCATGGTAGTGTATAGGTAGATGCAACAGATGAGTTGAGTGAAGAGCAAACACAGCCCTGAGGTGTGGCCTGCATGACTCAGCCCAGCACAGAATTAACCCTATGAATGAGAAAACTTGTTCTGTAACTAACTAATGGAGTGACTCACCTTGTCCATCAGCTAAGCCTCACCTAAAAGTAAGTGTGGTGGAGATGTTGTTTAATAGAAGCCACTTTAAGTTTGATTCCACTCTCCTTAGGGGACCAAGGTATAGAAAGGAGAGTGTGCCCTACTTTTGGGGAGGATGTGTTTATATTTCTGTCCTTGCTATTCTTTCTCAGTAAATATACCCTTTTAAAAAGCTAGTTAGTATTAACTGGTTGATATTGAGTACAGATCAATAGGTAAATCAATAGTGGGGTACTAATCATTGGTTAGATACTAGGGAGGTACTAAATGATTGATTCATGTTGAAAGGAACACATTGGATTGAGGCACAAGGAAATAGTAGGAGGATATGCCCCAGCCCTAACCTGTCTGGGTTATCCACAGAGCCCTGAGGGTATAGACGGTAGCCTTCTGGGGACATAACCCACCAGTTTGAGGTTGGGTCCAGAGTCTGTAAGTGCTACTACACTTGTATGGATTTCTGGGGTGATACTGAGACTCATCAGAATTGGGTATTGCTCCACTAATAACCCTAAGTTTGTTTCCTTTCCAAGGGGAGTCCAAAGCCACCTAGTGGTGCTTACTTTTAAATATGTAAGAATAGAGGGCTTTGGGGGAAAGTGGGACTCACCACAGAAGGAAAATAGAATTGATTATTTATAGGCTTCTGTGAGTGCTTTACATATTTTATGTATTTCTCTGAGGTGGAATAAAGGTTATTTTGTATCCAATACATACATTTGTCTTCTTTAGTGCTTAAATGGGGTATGGGAACCCTGTTACCTACATCTGTGGGGATCTAGACAGAAGCTAATAGTCCATTTTGACTGAAACATAAAATAACTGAAGAAATGCATAAAATGCTATGTAATTTTTGATCTAGCAGTCCAGGCTTGGGCTTATGTGGAGTGGATCCAATTTTGAGGGTAGCTCCCCCTCAAATGCCTTATTTTGACTTGCATTGTCCTTACCAAGATTTGCTCCTATGAAATTTGAGAATATAAAGGAAAATTTGGGTTCTTGTCAACATCCCTCTATTGAAAACCTTCCCTTCCCTTAAGACCCAGATAAGGAGCCATTTTCTCCATGAAGTTTGGCCTAGACTATTGCAATAGTTTCCTGATTGTTCTCAGACTTAATTCACACCTAATCAAGTCTGAACATTTATCCCTCCCATGTTCAAGAAACACTAATGAGTCCCCACTGTCCCTAGGACAAAATATAAACTCCTCAGTTTGATATTTGGAGCCCTTTGCAGACTTTGTAGTCTGATCACATATTACCCTGCTCATTCCTTGCAGCTTCAGTACTCGATTTGTTATACATGACATTCCATTTCTTACCTTCATGCCTTTTATAGGGACGAACCCCCCCATGCCTGGAATGCTCTCCCCTTCTCTTCAAAAGGCCTACCTTGAACCCCACCCCCCCCACCCCGGTCTGAGCACTCTCACAGACTGGCTACATCTCCCCCTCAGAGTTCTCCTGGTACCCACGTGGGGTTGAGGTATTTCTTCTCCAATGCTATCAGCTTGAGCCCCTATTAATTAACATTAATTTGCTTTTACAAATGGAGATTTCCTTGACATAGTAAGAACAGAAGATATTCTCCCCAATATTTCAGGTTAACTCTCCCCTATACCACCTTGATCTCTGGGGAGAATGGGTTCATATTCAACACAGTTTCTACATAGCATTGGTCCCATCAAGTTCAGGTCCCAAAGTGGTATATGGTGGATGAGTCATTGTCTTGGCTGGCTCTTGAGGTTGCTCAGTGTTCCTTTGGGCACTGTGCTGGTTGCAAAACTGGGCATGGACTCAATTCTGAGACTCTAACCTTGGATGGCTTGCTCTTTTGAAGTTTTTTTTCCTCAATTTTTATTTTCAATTCCAAGTTCTGTCCCTTCCACACTCCTTCCCCACACACTGAGAGTTCTTTTGAATTGTCAAAACTCACAAGATCTTAGCCTCCCCCCCCAACCCCCCCAAAAACAAACAAAAACAAATTAGGCAAAGAACTAAGGCTTACCATGCTCAGCTTTAGAGGAAGAAAGCCTGAGGCCTCTCCCCTTATAGAACCATTTCTTACCTGAAGCCATCCACCAAGAGGAAATCCCTAGGAGTACAGTCAAACCAAGAGAAACTGCTTGCTTAGTGCCTTTTGAATGCATTCCCAGCCAATCCAAAAGGCTCCTCCATGGTTAGCAAACAGGAACCTGTCACAAATGTCTATGAACGTTCCTGAGTCTTGTCAAGGCACTTCTATTACCATTCATCACTATATCCCCAGCGTCTTCCACTTGCTGAATTGCATCAGTGGTACTCTGCAGAGTGGCCAGTGCCCAGTATCCTCTCTACTTATGTATTTGTCAATATATTGCATCTTTACAGCAGAATGTGAGCACATTAAGGGCAGAGACTTTCTCATTTTGCATTTGTAAACCCAAAGCCTAGCACAGTGCCCCACACATAGGAAGTATTTAATAAATAAAGCTTGTTGATTTTTCCCCATGCCCTCAACTAAAGGTGACTGTCAGTCTCCTTTGAAACTCCTGAGCCACTTGATTAGATCTCTTCTATGCATTTGAAATATTATATTTATGTCTGATCCCATTAACAAAACTATTAAGTTCCCATAGAACAGAGAATGTGCTTTTTGTTTCTCCAGTGCCTGAAACATAGCAGTTTGTTGAATTTAAAAAATTTTCTTTTTTAATGTGGGCCTATTTTTTCTCCTTCTACGGTCACAAAGAGCCTATTTACCCTTTTTCAGGTAAAATGTATTTTTTTTTGTCTCAAACACTTTTTGCCTTCGGTTTTCAAAACGACTGTAATAGGAAGTAAAATTTGTTTCATTTTCCTTTTTAAGTAAATTTTTTTTCCAGCGATGACATGTCATTTTCCAAGCTTGATGCAGTTGAAAGATTGAGGAACTAGGAGTCACAGGACCCGAATTAGAATCCAAGCGGTGCCACTTATGTCTTTGAGTGACCCTTGGGCAGGTCATTTCTCTGGGCCTCAATGTCCTCCACGGTAAAACGAATGGATCGGACTACAAGTCCTTTCCTGCTCTTTGATCTATGATCCCATACTTAGGATAGTATATTTATCTTACCCCTGGTATTTTATTCCAGCGCTGGGAGTAAATGCTTTCTTTCTCTGCTGTCAGTGGCCCATCGAGGCTCAGGGAGGGCCGGGAATCTTTGCTCCTCTTTAAGGGAATCTCAGGGTCACTGAGGGAACAGAAGGAGGCGGCCTCTCCTTGCTAGAGAAACTTTGGACAGTTCTGGAAGGGAGAAGGGAAAAGTGTATTCCTTTCCTTCTAGGCCTCTCGGGCAGCTTTTTTTGGGGTCATTTAATAGTAATTATATTAGTAATATATTTTTGCTGGAGGGTGGGGGAATATCACATTTTGGGGTGTAACATGCCCCACCCCGGGCCCCCAGTGTTTCTGGAGCATTTAAAGCAGCTCGGGTATTGTGGGGTGAAAGGCAGGGGCAAGTTAAACCCCACGCGGAAGGCGATGGGAGATGGGGAACACCCCAGAAGCGGAGGAATGTGTGAGCCCCAAACAATTCCCACAAACTGTCAGAAATCAGAGGAGGCGGCTCGGCGGGCTTTGGCCTGCCCGCCGGTTCGCCCCTGGAAGCTCCGGAGGGGGCTCCCCGCCCGCGGGGGTGCTGGGGGCGTTCCCCCCTCGCCGCCCCGGCCTTCAGCCCGGACTGGCGGGGCCGGGGCCGCGGTGGATTGTGGGCTGGGGGCCGTCGCTGAGGCGGCGGCGGCGGCGTCAGCCCGGGGCCAGGCCGGGCCGGGGCGGGCCGCGCCGGGTGTCGTGGCGGCAGAGTCGGCGGCGGGAGCTGCAGCTCCTCTGGCGGCCGGGGATGTGGGAGAGGCGGCGGCGGCAGCGGCAGCGGCAGCGGCGGAGGCGGCGCTGCGGCCCCGGGGGGTAGTGCGGCCTGACGGGACGCCCGGCAGAGACGTGAAGGAGCCGCCGCGGCCGCCCCTCACCCGGGAGCGGAGCCGGGGCCCGGGGCCGGCCTGCCCCTCTGCGTGCAGCCCGGGCCAGCGCCGGGGCGGGGGCCGGGCCGAGGCCCGAGCCCGGCTCCCGGGGCGCCGAGAGGCGGCGGCGGCCCAAGCCCAGCGGCAGCGGCGACGTGGAGGTCCAGAGGCGTCCGGCCATGCGCTAGGCCTCGCCCAGGGGCGGCTGCCCGGGACCCGCAGGTACCGTACGGAGCCGGCCCCCGACCGCTTGGGGTGGGGAGGGGGAAAGGAGGAGGGGGACCGGGAGGGAGGGCCGGGGCTGGCTCTGCTCCCTACCTTGGGCCCTGAGCCGGCCCTGTGGGGCCACTCTTGCCTATAAGCCCTCGGGCGGAGAGCTCCGTCCCCTCACCTCGGGCGGGCTGCGGTCACCGGCAGGGACAGCCCCAGCTGCTGGGCACGGGACCGCCACCCCCTGGGCCCTGCCCCCGTACCCTTAGCTCCCCTCTGGGTCGAGCCCTGCCTGACCTCCTGAATCCCGTTCTCCCCCTATTAGCCTGCTTTGGGGGGACTTTCCCTTCCTCTAGTTTGGGGAGTTCTCCTCCTCCAGGTGTGACCCTCCTTCATCTCTGCAGAGCTGCAAACACTGGAGGGACCTCCTCCTCCTCTTCCCTCCCACCACTGATAGGGGAACCCCTTTTATTATAATTCCCTCGATGCTGAGTACCGTGATGGCATTTTTAGTGTACTGGCTGTACCAGAAGGGAGTCATATCTGTAATCTTCAAATACATCAAAACAAACAAACAACTTTCAGCTGGCTTTGAAAACATTTCATCAGAATTTTCCTTCTTTTAAAATAACTGAATTAAATATTTGTTCCTTTTTAAAAATTGGTGCTGGATTCACGATTTGTAAACTCAGAGCACCTTAATGAGAAATGCTTACTTAGCTAGTCGATTTGAATAATGAAAAAGTGCTTCCATTTTTTCCTCCATATATATGCTGGGTAGCTAGATCATGAGCAACATTGTGTCATATATGGTCGATTAATTTGTGTTATGGATTATGGTGGATCCGGAGTAAGTTTCTAATGTCTTAGAGTTCCCAGTTGTAGAACAACTTTTCGATTAATAATGTTTCCTGAGTTGTTGTAAAGGGACTGATGGGAGTTGTTTATTTTGAATGTCTCTGTTCTGTAATCAGATTCTAATTAGCTCCTTATGAATGTAGGGAAATTTACATTGATCCATCACTACTTGTAGGTCTTGTTGAAAATGTTCATTCAGTATATGCATATTTTGTTATTAGTAATTGTGTCTTTTAGAAATTTGTGCAACTTTACCATAATGGACTACATTGGATCCATGCTATAGTGATTTTTATATGTGTGCATATATTTATTATTTTTTTTGTAAACCTAGTGTACCTATAAAAATTCTGGAGGCAGGTTTCTTTCTTAAAAAGAATTATTTTCATGGTTCTCTTTGTAGAACAAAAAATGATTGTTTTCCTATTACTACAAACTTAAAGGATTCTCCAACTTATTTTGTTCTATATATGTCACGAACAAGGGGAGATTTTTCTTTCTGAAGTGTTTTTCACTGGTGGCAGAATATTGGGTAAAAAATGGTTATCTCTTTGTACGCGTGTATGTTGAGTTATTTTTATGGAGGTGTTAACAAAATGGACTTGAATGAGAAATTAATCTCATCTTATAAGTCATTATAAAATAATGTTATGATTTTAAGAAACTATCAGAAATCTTGCTTGTACAACTAATTTTTTATTTTTTTCTTTTTTCTCATTTCTATCAATGTTTGATTGGTTATAAGGTAGATGTATAATATAATGGATAAAGCTGGACTTGGAGTCTGGAAGATATGGTTTGTATCCTGCTTCTGACTTTTTTGTTGTTGTGCGCTTGGGCAAGTCATTTGAACTCTGTTTGCCTCAGTTTCTCCATGGGTAAGGACAATAATGCCTATAATACCTTTCTCTCAAGGTCATTGTGATGCTCAACTGAAATAATGGCTGCAAAGTACTTTGTTAACTTTAAAAAACTATATATATATATTTTGTATATATATAAATCAATAACTGGTACATATAAGTTATTGATTTTTATTGTCACTAATATGAACAAAGAAATTTTTAAAATTCTTGATCCCTTATGAAGACTAACTTTTGTTTTATTTGGAAATAAGCAGCAGTTTTAAAAAAATCATTACTACCATTTTAAAAACATGTGAGAACAAATTAACACATTACTTCTCAACATATTTCAATATGAAGTTTAGAGGACTGGAAAAAATTAGAAATCATTGCTTCGAGACTGATTCAGTTATTGGTATTCACTATTATAAGGGTTCAATTCACAGAAACTTTATTAAGCACTTATGTACACGGTGCTGGTGGTAACAACACTGAGCCTTCTTCCTGGAACGAGACACTGTCTCCCAACTCCAGGAATCTTTACTGGCTGGCCCTCATGCCGAGAATTCTCTCCCTCCTCATCACTACCTAGTGGTTTCCTTGACATCCTTTGAGTCCCAGCTAAAATCCCTTCTATAAGAAGCCTTTCCCCAACCCCTTTTAGTTCTAGTTACTTCTTTCTATTGATTATTTCCACTATATCTTGTATATAGCTTGTTTGTACTTAGTTAATTGTATGTTGTCTCCTCCATTAGACTCTGAGCTTCTTGAGAGCAGGGGCTTCGTTTTTGCCCTTGTTTGTATCCCAGTTGCTTAGTGTGTGGCACATAGTAGGTACTTAATTGACTGACTCAAAGGACTTTACATCTTCTGAGGGTTGAAAGAGGTGTTATGGAAAAGAAATTTTATTTGTCATGAAATTCTCTTCCTGTTTTTTCCACAGATAATATGACAGGATCAGGATATTGTGATTTAGGGAATAATAATAGCTACCATATATAGTGCCTACTATATGCCAGGCATCTTACAAATATTATTTTATAACAACTCTGGGAGGTAGATGATGTTATTATTCCCTTTTTATTGTTGAAGAAACTTGAGATTAAGTGGCTTTCCTAAGGTGACAACAAGTGTGTGAGGTAGGATTTGAACTCAAGTCTTCCTGACTTCAGGGCTAGCGTTTCTATCCACTGAGCCTATGAAATGCTTGTAGCTGTAGGTTAAATCCTTCAATTATGTGGTACAAAAGAATTTAAAGCAGATGTAAAAACTCACAGATTAAAATGGAATTGAGAAATGTTTTAGAAAATAAATGAAAATACAACATTTATTTTTCACTTGTTTCAGTCATGTCCAACTCTTTGTGACCCTATTTGGGGTTTTCTTGGGAAAAATACTGGCAAGGTTTGCCGTTTCCTTCTCTGGCTCATTTTACAGATGAGGAAACTGAGACATACAGGGTGAAGTGACTTGCCCAGGGTCACATGGCTAGTAGGGGTCTGAGGCCAGGTTTGAATTCAGAGAGATGAGTCTTCGTAATTCCAGGCCCTATCTGCTTCAGTGCTGTATCCACTTCTCCACCTAATTGCCCTTAAAAAAGAATACAACATAGGTAATATTAATTTGTGGTTTTCTAAGCCAATTTGCTGCCTGCAGGAATCTGTTTCTACTTGAGTTTGATACCAGTGATTTAAAGCATAGTGGAGAAGTGAAAATTTGGAAGTTAAAGAGTTCTCTTTGGCTTTGCTTTTGATTTGCCTTTACCTTCATTATAAAACATACATTGACAGTTCTGCTAATACATCATAAAATGGAGAGAGAGAGAGAGAGAGAGAGAGAGAGAGAGAGAGAGAGAGTGTGTGTGTGTGTGTGTGTGTGTGTGTGTGTGTGTGTGTGTGTGTGTGTGTATTCCCATGGGGCCATTCCCCTTTTAGTCATGGTTTTTAAATTTTTAGAAATTAAAAAAAAATATGGGCGTTTGGATGGCTTCTCCTTTGCTCCACCACCTCAGAAAATTTATGGAATACCTGCTTACTTAACACTTATTTCCAGTGAAATTCTTGAATCTTAAAAACAGTTTACAAATTACTGTACCTTTCAGATTGCATTAAGAAGGTAAATAGACTTATTTTGCTCATACAGGACAGCTCTCATATAGAAACACAGATAAGGATCAGAAACTCTCCACTTTGTCTTTACTCTATGCCATCTGAATATCTTTTTAAAGTGAAGGGGGGAAAGCAGGAAGAGAAGAGTGGCAGAATTTCAAATAGTGGTTGGTAAAAGCTTCATGTGAAGTTTGACCTCTTTGAAAAGGTATTTCTGAAGGCTGCTAAAATACAGAGAGCCTGACGATCCATCAACCAACACTCCTTCAGGTTAGCCTTTATTGCTTATTTAAACTCCCAGAGCCACAGTGTTTATGACCCCTTTAAGTAGATTAGCCTAC